CCTAACCTAACCTAACCTAACCTAACCTAACCTAACCTAACCTAACCTAACCTAACCTAACCTAACCTAACCTAACCTAACCTAACCTAACCTAACCTAACCTAACCTAACCTAACCTAACCTAACCTAACCTAACCTAACCTAACCTAACCTAACCTAACCTAACCTAACCTAACCTAACCTAACCTAACCTAACCTAACCTAACCTAACCTAACCTAACCTAACCTAACCTAACCTAACCTAACCTAACCTAACCTAACCTAACCTAACCTAACCTAACCTAACCTAACCTAACCTAACCTAACCTAACCTAACCTAACCTAACCTAACCTAACCTAACCTAACCTAACCTAACCTAACCTAACCTAACCTAACCTAACCTAACCTAACCTAACCTAACCTAACCTAACCTAACCTAACCTAACCTAACCTAACCTAACCTAACCTAACCTAACCTAACCTAACCTAACCTAACCTAACCTAACCTAACCTAACCTAACCTAACCTAACCTAACCTAACCTAACCTAACCTAACCTAACCTAACCTAACCTAACCTAACCTAACCTAACCTAACCTAACCTAACCTAACCTAACCTAACCTAACCTAACCTAACCTAACCTAACCTAACCTAACCTAACCTAACCTAACCTAACCTAACCTAACCTAACCTAACCTAACCTAACCTAACCTAACCTAACCTAACCTAACCTAACCTAACCTAACCTAACCTAACCTAACCTAACCTAACCTAACCTAACCTAACCTAACCTAACCTAACCTAACCTAACCTAACCTAACCTAACCTAACCTAACCTAACCTAACCTAACCTAACCTAACCTAACCTAACCTAACCTAACCTAACCTAACCTAACCTAACCTAACCTAACCTAACCTAACCTAACCTAACCTAACCTAACCTAACCTAACCTAACCTAACCTAACCTAACCTAACCTAACCTAACCTAACCTAACCTAACCTAACCTAACCTAACCTAACCTAACCTAACCTAACCTAACCTAACCTAACCTAACCTAACCTAACCTAACCTAACCTAACCTAACCTAACCTAACCTAACCTAACCTAACCTAACCTAACCTAACCTAACCTAACCTAACCTAACCTAACCTAACCTAACCTAACCTAACCTAACCTAACCTAACCTAACCTAACCTAACCTAACCTAACCTAACCTAACCTAACCTAACCTAACCTAACCTAACCTAACCTAACCTAACCTAACCTAACCTAACCTAACCTAACCTAACCTAACCTAACCTAACCTAACCTAACCTAACCTAACCTAACCTAACCTAACCTAACCTAACCTAACCTAACCTAACCTAACCTAACCTAACCTAACCTAACCTAACCTAACCTAACCTAACCTAACCTAACCTAACCTAACCTAACCTAACCTAACCTAACCTAACCTAACCTAACCTAACCTAACCTAACCTAACCTAACCTAACCTAACCTAACCTAACCTAACCTAACCTAACCTAACCTAACCTAACCTAACCTAACCTAACCTAACCTAACCTAACCTAACCTAACCTAACCTAACCTAACCTAACCTAACCTAACCTAACCTAACCTAACCTAACCTAACCTAACCTAACCTAACCTAACCTAACCTAACCTAACCTAACCTAACCTAACCTAACCTAACCTAACCTAACCTAACCTAACCTAACCTAACCTAACCTAACCTAACCTAACCTAACCTAACCTAACCTAACCTAACCTAACCTAACCTAACCTAACCTAACCTAACCTAACCTAACCTAACCTAACCTAACCTAACCTAACCTAACCTAACCTAACCTAACCTAACCTAACCTAACCTAACCTAACCTAACCTAACCTAACCTAACCTAACCTAACCTAACCTAACCTAACCTAACCTAACCTAACCTAACCTAACCTAACCTAACCTAACCTAACCTAACCTAACCTAACCTAACCTAACCTAACCTAACCTAACCTAACCTAACCTAACCTAACCTAACCTAACCTAACCTAACCTAACCTAACCTAACCTAACCTAACCTAACCTAACCTAACCTAACCTAACCTAACCTAACCTAACCTAACCTAACCTAACCTAACCTAACCTAACCTAACCTAACCTAACCTAACCTAACCTAACCTAACCTAACCTAACCTAACCTAACCTAACCTAACCTAACCTAACCTAACCTAACCTAACCTAACCTAACCTAACCTAACCTAACCTAACCTAACCTAACCTAACCTAACCTAACCTAACCTAACCTAACCTAACCTAACCTAACCTAACCTAACCTAACCTAACCTAACCTAACCTAACCTAACCTAACCTAACCTAACCTAACCTAACCTAACCTAACCTAACCTAACCTAACCTAACCTAACCTAACCTAACCTAACCTAACCTAACCTAACCTAACCTAACCTAACCTAACCTAACCTAACCTAACCTAACCTAACCTAACCTAACCTAACCTAACCTAACCTAACCTAACCTAACCTAACCTAACCTAACCTAACCTAACCTAACCTAACCTAACCTAACCTAACCTAACCTAACCTAACCTAACCTAACCTAACCTAACCTAACCTAACCTAACCTAACCTAACCTAACCTAACCTAACCTAACCTAACCTAACCTAACCTAACCTAACCTAACCTAACCTAACCTAACCTAACCTAACCTAACCTAACCTAACCTAACCTAACCTAACCTAACCTAACCTAACCTAACCTAACCTAACCTAACCTAACCTAACCTAACCTAACCTAACCTAACCTAACCTAACCTAACCTAACCTAACCTAACCTAACCTAACCTAACCTAACCTAACCTAACCTAACCTAACCTAACCTAACCTAACCTAACCTAACCTAACCTAACCTAACCTAACCTAACCTAACCTAACCTAACCTAACCTAACCTAACCTAACCTAACCTAACCTAACCTAACCTAACCTAACCTAACCTAACCTAACCTAACCTAACCTAACCTAACCTAACCTAACCTAACCTAACCTAACCTAACCTAACCTAACCTAACCTAACCTAACCTAACCTAACCTAACCTAACCTAACCTAACCTAACCTAACCTAACCTAACCTAACCTAACCTAACCTAACCTAACCTAACCTAACCTAACCTAACCTAACCTAACCTAACCTAACCTAACCTAACCTAACCTAACCTAACCTAACCTAACCTAACCTAACCTAACCTAACCTAACCTAACCTAACCTAACCTAACCTAACCTAACCTAACCTAACCTAACCTAACCTAACCTAACCTAACCTAACCTAACCTAACCTAACCTAACCTAACCTAACCTAACCTAACCTAACCTAACCTAACCTAACCTAACCTAACCTAACCTAACCTAACCTAACCTAACCTAACCTAACCTAACCTAACCTAACCTAACCTAACCTAACCTAACCTAACCTAACCTAACCTAACCTAACCTAACCTAACCTAACCTAACCTAACCTAACCTAACCTAACCTAACCTAACCTAACCTAACCTAACCTAACCTAACCTAACCTAACCTAACCTAACCTAACCTAACCTAACCTAACCTAACCTAACCTAACCTAACCTAACCTAACCTAACCTAACCTAACCTAACCTAACCTAACCGAATACAGAAAGCTCTCCCAAAATCGCAAATATAAAATATGCGGATCGTCTAACAGAGGCTCGAGCCTGTCTCCAAAAGGCAAAATTACATCTCAACAACTCTCGAAACCTAAGGACCGACATAAAAATGGAAGTCACTCAGGCAGTAGAGAGACTCTATCAATTGGTGAAAGAGGCGGAAATAGGAAATAACATTGAGAAAGAAGAAAAACCTAAAGACCAGGAGAAGAAAGGAGATAAACTAGACGATGAAAGCAGGAAAAAGAAAGAAGAAGAACAAATCTTTATGAAGAAATTGGAAGAGCACGGGAAACTCTTAGAGGAAAGTAGAAAAGAGATGGAAAAGTTAAGAGAAGAAATGAAAAAGCAAGAAATTAAAGAGGACAGAGGAACATACGCAAGCATAGCGGCTGGACCACCAAGAAGTTCACTTTTACCCACACAGAACATGGCTATGCATTCAGTGATGATAACATCAAATGACGAAAAGGAAACAGGAGACCAGGTCATCGACAAGATAAGGAACGCTATAAACGCCAAGGAAGAAGGTTTAAAAATAGACAAAATCAGGAAGGCAAGGGATAGGAAAGTAATACTGGGATGCCGAACGGAGAAGGAAATAAATAAAGTCAAAGAGAGGTTAAAACAGGCAGGGAAGGATTTAAATGTGGATGATATAAAAAACAAGGATCCGCTCATAATTCTGAGAGATGTTATGCAGTATAACACTGATGAGGAGATACTAAAGGCAATAAGGATGCAAAATAAGCAGCTTTTTAAAGACATATTAGAGAAAGAAGATAGAATAGAAATTAAATACAGGAAAAGGACCAGGAACCCACATACATCCCACGTTGTACTGAGAGTCTCGCCCCAGATTTGGAATCATCTTACCGAAGCTAGAGTTATCCACATTGATCTACAGCGGGTAAGAGTAATGGATCAGTCCCCTCTTGTTCAGTGTTCGCGCTGTCTGGGATACGGGCACAGCAAGCGCATATGTACTGAAGCGACTGATGCCTGTAGTCATTGCGGAGGCCCACATCTCAAAGCTGAATGTGCCGACTGGCTGTCAGGAGAGACACCAGAATGTATAAACTGCAAGAAGGCAAAACACGATAGAAAAGATCACAACGCATTCAGCGAAGACTGTCCAGTAAGAAAGAGATGGGAAGTACTCGCCAGGTCTACCGTAGCGTATTGCTAAGGTTGACTCAAACGTAAACACGGAACCTAACACCCGTCCCCACCGATGTCACGTGATCCAGGCAAATCTCCAAAGGTGCGAGCTAGCCACGGCCGAACTAATTACAGAGGCGACCAAGCGAAAGATATCTTTCGCTATGGTTCAGGAGCCCTATATTGGTCGAATTGGTCAAATGAAGACCTACTCGGGGACGAGAATAGCACAAAGAGACAGAAGCCTAAGCACTGAAAAAGTGAATAAGGCTGCTATTGTGCTATTCGATGACGCCATTGACATCGCCCAATGCCCCAGCCTAACTACAGAGAATATCGCAGTCGCTAAACTCAGGACAGGGGCATGGGAGTTGGGAGTGGTGTCCGTCTACCTAGAGGGTGACAAACCAATCGATCCTTATCTTGAAAAGATTGGAGCGGCCGTGGTGGGCTTACAGACAAGGAACGTGATACTCGGTGGTGACGTGAATGCGTGGAATACCTGGTGGGGAAGCCGGAAAACGGACCACAGGGGTATGGAACTTGCTGCAAAGCTCGATGAACTGGAGCTCCATATCCTAAATAGAGGGACTGATCCCACTTTTGACATATATAGAGGCGGGAAGAGATTTTCCAGCTGCGTGGATATATCCACTTGCTCTACTAACCTTCTTGGGAGAACAGACAACTGGAGACTATCCGACGAAATAACCAGTTCGGACCACAGGGCAATCCTATTTGACATAAATTTAGGGAAATCAATAGGCACTAATATAAAAACTACTACCAGGAAATATAACACGAAAAAAGCAAATTGGGGCGAGTTTCGTGAGAAACTCGTCGAAATTTGGAATGATAAAGGTATAAATAGAGCAGAGATAGACAAAATAACAAACAAAGATGAAATAGATATACAAATAGAGGAATATACAAAATCAATAACCGAAGCTTGTGAAAACAGCATACAGAAAATAGCAAACAAAAAGCAAATGGGATTGCCCTGGTGGACCCCTGAACTGACACAGCGTAAAAAGGAAGTCTCCAGGCTAAGGCGACGAATCTCCTATGCAGCGCCAATCCGCCGTGGATGGGTTGTTGAACAATACAAGACAGCAAAAGAGGAGTACCAAGAAGCAGTGAAAAGAGCTCAGACCACCAGCTGGAAAGAGTTCTGCGGCAAACAGGAGCAAGAAACAATGTGGGATGGAATATACAGGGTAATAAGCCGTACAACGGTGAGACGGGATGACACTCCGCTTGTCCAATGTGGCAGGACACTAGAAAGTGAAGAATCTGCCAGGATCCTGGCGGATACCTTTTACCCGGAGGATCGTATTGAAGATGACGACGCGGTACATACGCAAATAAGGGAAATCGCAAAAACTGTAAACGAAGGGACAAATGATAACTCATGTGATCCACCGTTTACAGTGGATGAGCTGATGTGGGCCGTGTCGAACTTCAACCCGAAAAAAGCGCCAGGAGACGACGGTCTTACGGCAGATATTTGCGGTGTGGCTATTGCCCTGGATGCGGCATTGTTCTTGGCACTAATTAACAAATGTTTAAGCCTCGCACATTTCCCCATAAAATGGAAAAAAGCAACTGTAGTGGCGTTGCGGAAGCCTGGTAAAGAGAACTATACACACCCTAAATCATACAGGCCGATTGGGCTACTGCCTGTCCTTGGAAAAGTCTTTGAAAAGATGGTAGTCCGCAGAATCAAGTGGCACATCGTACCGAAAATAAGCCGGAAGCAGTATGGGTTTATGCCACAACGCAGCACGGAGGACTCCCTCTATGATATGATGCAGATAATAAGAACTAAACTAAAAGAGAAAAAGCTTATCCTGCTCATATCATTAGACATAGAGGGAGCCTTCGATAATGCTTGGTGGCCAGCGATGCGATGTGAACTTGCGGAGACTGGGTGCCCGGTAAACCTGAGGCGCCTGATAGACAGCTATCTTAAGGATAGGTCAGTAAGCGTCAGGTTTGCTGGGGCACAATGGACTAAAAATACCACAAAAGGGTGTGTACAAGGTTCGATAGGTGGTCCAATTTTCTGGAATCTATTATTGGATCCACTTTTAAGGGAGATGAGCAAAAAAGGGACCCACTGCCAGGCTTTCGCGGACGATGTGGTCCTGATTTTTGCCGGGGATACAACAAAACAGGTGCAGGAACAGGCTAATGCGAATCTCGCACATGTCCATAGTTGGGGTGTCAGAAATAAGCTCAACTTTGCGCCACTTAAAACAACAGCAATGGTCGTTACAAATAAGCTTAAATATGACACACCAATTCTGGAGATGGGTGGGAAGAGCATTGGCCTCTCCAAAGAAATAAAAATACTCGGCCTCACAATTGACGACAAGCTTACCTTCAACACGCATATTAAGAATGTATGTTGTAAGGTACAGAACTTGTATCGTCAGCTGTCGAGAGCCGCAAAGATCTATTGGGGCCTAAACCCCGAAATTATCAGGACCATATACACTGCAGTAGTTGAGCCCATTGTAATGTATGCGGCTAGTGCTTGGGTATCAGCAATTAACAAATGTAGTGTCAAAAAGCAACTGGACATAATACAACGCGGATTTGTACAAAAAGTCATAAAATCGTATAGAACAGTTTCTCTTCATTCGGCCCTACTTCTCGCCGGGCTGCTTCCTTTGGATCTAAGAGTCCAGGAAGCAGCCTTGCTTTATGAGATAAAGAAAGGTTTCTCCCGACGTATAGTGGGCGATCGTGACGTGGAGACAAAACTTGAATTTTCCAAGACCACACATCCCGCGAATCAGGTTAGCCTGGAATTCACATGCCTGGGAGACGGTGCACAAATAGACCAAAATCACAACACGGGCTTAAACATTTTTACAGACGGAAGCAAAATAGAGGGGAAAGTTGGAGCGGCGTTATCCATCTGGAACAACGCCGCGGAAACGAATACCCGAAAACTGAAACTGGAAAATTTTTGCACCGTTTACCAGGCGGAGTTACTGGCTATAATGGAAGCAACAAAATATGCACTTAAAGACCAAGCACTGAGTTGCTGCATATACAGTGACTCAAGGTCTGCTCTTGAAACAGTGGCTCAAGACGCTCCCCTCCATCCCCTAGCGGTGGAAGCAAAAAACAATATTTTAAAAATAAACAAGGAAGGCAAAATTTTACGTCTCTTTTGGGTAAAAGCTCACGCAGGATTGGAGGGGAACGAAAGAGCAGACCAGCTAGCCAAAGAAGCTGCTTTAAAAATTAAAACAAAACCAAACTATGAAAAATGTCCGATTTCATTCATCAAGCGATCCATCCGAAAGGAATCGCTTGATGAATGGAACCAGCGCTATAAGAATGGGGAAACAGCCTCAACTACTAAAATGTTTTTCCCAGACGCCATTGATGCATATCAAATAATCAGGAAAATTGAGATGGACCCGATAATAGTCCAAGTAATGACTGGACATGGCGGGTTCTCTGAATACCTGTACAGATTCAAATGTAAAGAGAGCCCGGCATGTGCCTGCGACCCCGTAAAAAATGAAAATGTAATGCATATATTAACAGAATGTCCAATATATAGCAAAGATAGAAACGAAATAGAAATAGAATTAGGATTAAAAGTAAGTAAAGAAAATATAAATGAAATAATTAGTAATAAGTTTATTAGAAATAGGTTCATAAAATATTGTAAGCACATAGCAAAAAGTGTCGTAAATAGAAATAAATAGTTACTAAGAAAACGGATGCTGTAACAAAATATAATATAAGTATATGATGTAAGCAGCTCCAAAAATCAATAGAAATAAGAACATAATTAAGAATAGAAATAATGAATGTAAGCATAAAAATATAAAAATAAATAAAAGAAAGAAAGAAAATAACAAAGGTGAAAAAAGCCACACCTGAAAGATGAAAAAAGTCCCTGACCTCCACATATCAGGGGAACTAGAATAAAACAAAAAAAAAAAAAAAAAAAAAAAAAAAACCTAACCTAACCTAACCTAACCTAACCTAACCTAACCTAACCTAACCTAACCTAACCTAACCTAACCTAACCTAACCTAACCTAACCTAACCTAACCTAACCTAACCTAACCTAACCTAACCTAACCTAACCTAACCTAACCTAACCTAACCTAACCTAACCTAACCTAACCTAACCTAACCTAACCTAACCTAACCTAACCTAACCTAACCTAACCTAACCTAACCTAACCTAACCTAACCTAACCTAACCTAACCTAACCTAACCTAACCTAACCTAACCTAACCTAACCTAACCTAACCTAACCTAACCTAACCTAACCTAACCTAACCTAACCTAACCTAACCTAACCTAACCTAACCTAACCTAACCTAACCTAACCTAACCTAACCTAACCTAACCTAACCTAACCTAACCTAACCTAACCTAACCTAACCTAACCTAACCTAACCTAACCTAACCTAACCTAACCTAACCTAACCTAACCTAACCTAACCTAACCTAACCTAACCTAACCTAACCTAACCTAACCTAACCTAACCTAACCTAACCTAACCTAACCTAACCTAACCTAACCTAACCTAACCTAACCTAACCTAACCTAACCTAACCTAACCTAACCTAACCTAACCTAACCTAACCTAACCTAACCTAACCTAACCTAACCTAACCTAACCTAACCTAACCTAACCTAACCTAACCTAACCTAACCTAACCTAACCTAACCTAACCTAACCTAACCTAACCTAACCTAACCTAACCTAACCTAACCTAACCTAACCTAACCTAACCTAACCTAACCTAACCTAACCTAACCTAACCTAACCTAACCTAACCTAACCTAACCTAACCTAACCTAACCTAACCTAACCTAACCTAACCTAACCTAACCTAACCTAACCTAACCTAACCTAACCTAACCTAACCTAACCTAACCTAACCTAACCTAACCTAACCTAACCTAACCTAACCTAACCTAACCTAACCTAACCTAACCTGACGACAAGCTTACCTTCAACACGCATATTAAGAATGTATGTTGTAAGGTACAGAACTTGTATCGTCAGCTGTCGAGAGCCGCAAAGATCTATTGGGGCCTAAACCCCGAAATTATCAGGACCATATACACTGCAGTAGTTGAGCCCATTGTAATGTATGCGGCTAGTGCTTGGGTATCAGCAATTAACAAATGTAGTGTCAAAAAGCAACTGGACATAATACAACGCGGATTTGTACAAAAAGTCATAAAATCGTATAGAACAGTTTCTCTTCATTCGGCCCTACTTCTCGCCGGGCTGCTTCCTCTGGATCTAAGAGTCCAGGAAGCAGCCTTGCTTTATGAGATAAAGAAAGGTTTCTCCCGACGTGTAGTGGGCGATCGTGACGTGGAGACAAAACTTGAATTTTCCAAGACCACACATCCCGCGAATCAGGTTAGCCTGGAATTCACATGCCTGGGAGACGGTGCACAAATAGACCAAAATCACAACACGGGCTTAAACATTTTTACAGACGGAAGCAAAATAGAGGGGAAAGTTGGAGCGGCGTTATCCATCTGGAACAACGCCGCGGAAACGAATACCCGAAAACTGAAACTGGAAAATTTTTGCACCGTTTACCAGGCGGAGTTACTGGCTATAATGGAAGCAACAAAATATGCACTTAAAGACCAAGCACTGAGTTGCTGCATATACAGTGACTCAAGGTCTGCTCTTGAAACAGTGGCTCAAGACGCTCCCCTCCATCCCCTAGCGGTGGAAGCAAAAAACAATATTTTAAAAATAAACAAGGAAGGCAAAATTTTACGTCTCTTTTGGGTAAAAGCTCACGCAGGATTGGAGGGGAACGAAAGAGCAGACCAGCTAGCCAAAGAAGCTGCTTTAAAAATTAAAACAAAACCAAACTATGGAAAATGTCCGATTTCATTCATCAAGCGATCCATCCGAAAGGAATCGCTTGATGAATGGAACCAGCGCTATAAGAATGGGGAAACAGCCTCAACTACTAAAATGTTTTTCCCAGACGCCATTGATGCATATCAAATAATCAGGAAAATTGAGATGGACCCGATAATAGTCCAAGTAATGACTGGACATGGCGGGTTCTCTGAATACCTGTACAGATTCAAATGTAAAGAGAGCCCGGCATGTGCCTGCGACCCCGTAAAAAATGAAAATGTAATGCATATATTAACAGAATGTCCAATATATAGCAAAGATAGAAACGAAATAGAAATAGAATTAGGATTAAAAGTAAGTAAAGAAAATATAAATGAAATAATTAGTAATAAGTTTATTAGAAATAGGTTCATAAAATATTGTAAGCACATAGCAAAAAGTGTCGTAAATAGAAATAAATAGTTACTAAGAAAACGGATGCTGTAACAAAATATAATATAAGTATATAATGTAAGCAGCTCCAAAAATCAATAGAAATAAGAACATAATTAAGAATAGAAATAATGAATGTAAGCATAAAAATATAAAAATAAATAAAAGAAAGAAAGAAAATAACAAAGGTGAAAAAAGCCACACCTGAAAGATGAAAAAAGTCCCTGACCTCCACATATCAGGGGAACTAGAAAAAAAAAAAAAAAAAAAAAAAAAAAAAAAAAAAAAAAACCTAACCTAACCTAACCTAACCTAACCTAACCTAACCTAACCTAACCTAACCTAACCTAACCTAACCTAACCTAACCTAACCTAACCTAACCTAACCTAACCTAACCTAACCTAACCTAACCTAACCTAACCTAACCTAACCTAACCTAACCTAACCTAACCTAACCTAACCTAACCTAACCTAACCTAACCTAACCTAACCTAACCTAACCTAACCTAACCTAACCTAACCTAACCTAACCTAACCTAACCTAACCTAACCTAACCTAACCTAACCTAACCTAACCTAACCTAACCTAACCTAACCTAACCTAACCTAACCTAACCTAACCTAACCTAACCTAACCTAACCTAACCTAACCTAACCTAACCTAACCTAACCTAACCTAACCTAACCTAACCTAACCTAACCTAACCTAACCTAACCTAACCTAACCTAACCTAACCTAACCTAACCTAACCTAACCTAACCTAACCTAACCTAACCTAACCTAACCTAACCTAACCTAACCTAACCTAACCTAACCTAACCTAACCTAACCTAACCTAACCTAACCTAACCTAACCTAACCTAACCTAACCTAACCTAACCTAACCTAACCTAACCTAACCTAACCTAACCTAACCTAACCTAACCTAACCTAACCTAACCTAACCTAACCTAACCTAACCTAACCTAACCTAACCTAACCTAACCTAACCTAACCTAACCTAACCTAACCTAACCTAACCTAACCTAACCTAACCTAACCTAACCTAACCTAACCTAACCTAACCTAACCTAACCTAACCTAACCTAACCTAACCTAACCTAACCTAACCTAACCTAACCTAACCTAACCTAACCTAACCTAACCTAACCTAACCTAACCTAACCTAACCTAACCTAACCTAACCTAACCTAACCTAACCTAACCTAACCTAACCTAACCTAACCTAACCTAACCTAACCTAACCTAACCTAACCTAACCTAACCTAACCTAACCTAACCTAACCTAACCTAACCTAACCTAACCTAACCTAACCTAACCTAACCTAACCTAACCTAACCTAACCTAACCTAACCTAACCTAACCTAACCTAACCTAACCTAACCTAACCTAACCTAACCTAACCTAACCTAACCTAACCTAACCTAACCTAACCTAACCTAACCTAACCTAACCTAACCTAACCTAACCTAACCTAACCTAA